GAATAGAATAGAGCGGAGCGGAGCGGAGCGGAGCGGAGTGGAATAGAATAGAATAGAATAGAATAGAATAGAATAGAATAGAATAGAATAGAATAGAATAGAATAGCTTTAAGTGTGATTTGATATACAAGGAACTTGTCTCCAGTGCAGAAGCTCTCAGTGTATCCATTATGGAAAATCTTCCCAGAAAAGTCAGTCTGGTACCTGCCTACTTGCTTTTGGATGCCAAATATAACTAATGTGGGGGAAAGGGTCACATTGCATTCCATTAAAAATATAGCACTGAATTTAGTAAGTTTCAATTTATGATTAGGTAATACATTATGAACACATTAATAATGAATAAAATCTAATTATACATAAATATCAAATATTTATGAGTCATGCTGCATGGATCTTATCCATGGTGCTAAATGCCTATTTTTCTCCTGTCCTTTTTAAAAAAAATCTTATCGGATATTATTTTACATGGAATCAGAAAAGGTAATCTAAAATTAGAAAGAGAGATTTAGTTCAGCTTCACCAAAACAATGTGTCTTTAGAGGCTCTTTCTATGCATGAATTACTCTAGTTCAAACACAAACAAAAAATAATTACTCAAAATGTGCCAGGAGAAATTTCAACAATTAAAAGTACAAGAAATCCCTTCACCATACCTAGTCCAAAGTATAATGGCCACTCCAAAAAAACAAAAACAAAAAATGTTGCCCTATTAAACAAATCTAAGATATACAGAAATGATAAATTGCCCAAACTGATTCTGTGTTCATTTCCACATGAAGAAAAATAAGCTTTTTGAAGAAATACTGCTTAAACCATTGGAACAGCTACCATCTTGGAATGGATGGGAAGCAAGAATTAAGAATGTTGGACCTCAAATGACTCATTGAAAGCACCATTTAGCAAAATCTACAGCTAAATTTTGGGAAGTTTTTTCTCCATAAGCAAAAATAAACTTCTGTACTTGCACAATACATTGCAACAGGTGGCAAAGTATTCAACTCACTGCTGTCCATCGCTCCAATGCTAACCCCTTTACCTCTGTTCTCAGCCAGTAGAAAGGTGGAACTGTGAAGTAGTTGCCAGGGACAGTGGGCTAGAAACACCATTCTTGGTTTGTAACAGTAGAAAGAATAGTTTGTGGAATCTGGGGCAGCCTCATATTTGGTATTATCTGTACTACATAGATATTCTCATAAATGATCCAGTGTACTGCAGGTCAACCCCATAGGTAGACCAGACGGGCAAATCAACTCCACAGGAAGGATTAATACCTCAATACTCTAATTCAGAGGTGGTATTCAAGAGGGTTCTGATCAGTTCTAGAGAACCGGGTAGTGGAAATTTTGAGAAGTTCAGAGAACTGGTAAATACCACCTCTGACTGGCCCCACCCTCATCTATTCTCTGCCTCCCGAGTCCCAGCTGATCTGGAGGGAATGGGGATTTTGCAGTATCCTTCCCCTGGAGTGGGGAGGGAATGGAGATTTTATAGTATCTTTCCCCTGCCACACCACCACCAAGCCGTGCCCACCAAGCCATGCCATGTCCACTAAGCCACGCCCACAGAACCGATAGTAAAAAAAATTGAATCCCACCACTGCTCTAATTGCGATTGACTATAATAACAGGTTCTTGTGATGTTCTGATTGTGATGTTCCTCCTCCTCCTCCTCCCTGAATTAGGGTGTTATCTTTTGAGCTGCATCCAAATGTTATCTTGCTTTTCTGGATTTAAAAGAATATTTCAGCTCCTCTTGCTTCTGTAACAGTTCTTGCATTTTCCATTAAGGTCAACTTCCTTACTCTCTACAATGCAGGAAGTCTCTGCTTTGGCCACCCAACCAATTCTAACTTCCCAACCAATTTGTAAATCATCACAAGATTGCGAGGTTGCTTGCAGGATTGCCTCTTTCTGTAAAGTCTGTACACATCCTTACGATCTTCATTGGGGCACTTCTGACAGGCCCTGGCACACTTATATTTCAGTGGTGGGCCTCAAATTATTAAACAGCTTCCTGTCATGTCAATTTATTTATTTTTTGTTTATTAAATGTATATGCCTCCCATCTCCTTGAATAAATAAGGCAATTCAATCCTTACTATGGTTTAAGAGGAGGTTTAAACATTGGATTCTATTCTATTCAGAGCTTTGAAAGCTTCCTAGAGACATAAAAAGGGAATGAGTAAAATATAAAGTTATCAATCTATTAATAATAGGCAATGTATTGATTGATTTTCTTTATGCTAATACAGGTAGAAAGATAGAATGGGAAGGAGAAGCATTGTTGCAGAATGATTGGGGCGGCCAGGGTCAAGATTCACCTGTAAAGCGCACTGATATTTCCCCCTCCTTGTAAGATATTTTAGAGATCCTTGATGACTGTCCTGCTCCAACTCAGGTGAATATGTATAATGAATACTGTCACAAAATACTCACGTCACTGAGCTGTCGAGTAACTTTCTTGGCAAGCTCCACATCAAGTGGGTCAGACACAGAAGTGAACTTTGATTTCTGCTCAACATGTCCTTTTTTATAAACAATCTGAAATCACCAGGAAAAAGAGAGGGGTGATTATTTAAACACGTATATTTATTCTTGCAACCTATCTCAATAGGAGTTCATTTTCGTGGAAGCAAATTCACCTTGGTTAATTTAGCATAGTTATTTTAGGATTTTATACCAGAAATAGAACAAGATAATCAGAGGAAGCAACTGTTTAATTCGCTTAGCTTTAGGCATGCTAGGTGGTAAAATTTGCTCTTTACCACAACAAATTAGCCAACTTTATAGAAGTTAATAAATTAAGAGTCGGTATGGAAAGTTCTACTGTGCTATTTATTTTAATGCACCATTTATTTTAATGGCTCTGGTGTTGGTTGGATTAGGGGATAATACTTTCCAAAATGGGAACATTATTGCCTTCATCCATTCAAATAAGACTCAGTTCTTAGTAACTCTATTCTTTTAATTTTCTTGGCAGCATAGAGAAATGACTTGTTATCATCTTCATTCCAGTTTTTTTTAACTTTTGTCTAACCTACAGTTCTGGAATGTCCTTGTAGCTTCCCATTCAAGTCCTAATTCAGGTCCAACTCTGCTAGGCTTTTGAGATCAGCCAATGTCAACTAAGTGCAGCTGGAGATTTCTTTTCCATCACTTCAATGCACCATCCATCCCATTCCAGTGCCTCTTCTATTGCTGTGACCTTGCCCATGCCAAAGGGCAAGACAATGTGCTACATACAGCCTTCTATTTCATTCTTGCAAAAGTCATTTCAAGGTTGCTGAGCTTCTAAACATTGTCCACCCACTAAACCTACTGATGCAAATCTAGATTCTTGTAATCCAACACTCTTAACTATTCATCATACTTGGGTGCCCTTTCCCAAGTGTCTATGGAAATTCTCAATCATCCAGGACATGGTTTTCCAAAAAGCTACTGGAGTTTGTTGTGGTCTGCTGGCAGCCTGTGGAGCTGGCAGCAGAGTCGGAGAGCGAGAAGGTTGGGGAGGAACATGGGCCAGTCCTGGAGTCTGGGGAAGGCTTGAACAAGGGCTCTGCATTGGAGGCAGAGAGGGGGCCATGGCCATCTGGGAGTTATGTACTGCCTCCGGAGCCTCCAGAGTCAGACAGCAGTGAGGCTGAGGAATAGGCTCCCCCTGTTCCCAGTGCATGCATGCACAGAGCTGCCAGAAGGCAAGAACAGTTAAAACAGAAGGGATGACTCAGGACTAAGGTTTGGAGGTGATTGGCCCCTCCCATACGAATAAAGGAGGAACAAAGGCACATGAGCCTTTGCAGAAGCAACTTTGTTCATGCTGGTCAGCTTACCTTCTGAAGCTTCATTTTGACTCTTTGTTCCATGCCAAGCTAATTGCCAATTAAGTCTTTGGCAGCATTTCAAGGAAGTTAAAGATTGGTACTTATCGCCTTATCCCGAAGGACTTTGGCAGCCTACTGTAGGACTCTTTACAACTATTTGGGACTCATTATGGGCTATGAATGAACATAATTCACAGCCTTTGAAGTAAAAAGAGGGTTTTGGGGACTAAGCATGTGCTTTTTACTGTATCAGGAAGCCTAGGTCAGAACAGAGTTTCTTGGTTTTCATTGAAAATGTTTTGCTTCTTCTTGAATGAGAAATGAAACATTTTCAAGGAAAAACCAAGAAAGTCCAGTTGCCTTTTGGAAAAGCACTTTTGGGTGGTCTTTCCCAATTACACAGGTCCAGAACTAATGACTGATCAGGATCTTGGTACAGTACTTACATCACTGAGGGCCTTTTGTGCCTTTGCAACTCTCCTAAGTTCAGGACTGTCATCATAGGGGTAGAAGAGAGACTTTTCTGCTTCCCACTCTTCAACGTAAGGTTTCTGAGGGAAAATTAACCACAACATTCATTGGGCACAGGCTGGAAAGAAGCACAAGATTCATAGGAAAGGATCACAGATTCTTCTAACCAGAAGTACACCTACCTTACTGAATAAGGCTGTATTTTTAATAGCATGAACAAGCTCAGGAGCATCAGGAGGAAGGAAGTACTTTTCCTTATTTTCTTCCCAGTTCTGTTTGTATAAAACCTATAATGAAAAAAACCCACCACATTAGTTAAAGGAACTGTAAAGAAGCTGCTCTTTTAAGTCTGATTTTTCATAAAGTCCAACAATAGTAAAATTAACTTGCCAGGGTGGTTGTCAATCCCACTCTTTCCTATACTGCTTCTGAACACCTCAATGTCTAGCCTTGATTCTTCAAAATTATTGTTGAAACGCACATAACAAAGTCAAATTTCTACTATGTTAAGCTGTTCTGTGAAGGTATGCAGCTTCAAAAGGCAATTGACTGTATTCATTCACTTAACCAAAGAAATGAGAATTTGCTAAAAAGACATTTTGTCCTTTTTAGATCATCACTCCATGGTCTCCAGTAATAAACAGATGAGTCACATCTCCAGGGTCCAATCTAATAACCAAGGTTGTTGATTGTGTCCTTGCTTCATTTTGTAGGACAATGGAAGAATGTTTTGGTCACAATAACTGATACTAACAGTTTAGCGCCAATCCAGAAGAACAGGAGGCAAACATTTCAAGACAATCCCTTCTGTGAAATGTATGGTTTATGGTATTTAGAATAGGTAAGATCAGCACAGGTGTTATCATAGTCTACCCACAGCTTCGAAGTGTCAGGCATATCAATTCTTCAAAATTAAGCCACATTGTGGTAAAATTAAAGTTTCAGGGTAAAATAGAAACTCTGGCAGCCTCTTTGAGATTGCTTGATAATAGATCAAGGTAGAGTTTACACTATTTCACTGTTTGGGTAAATATTTCTTGGGGATTGAGGAGAATAAGATATTCTTTTACACTTCAAGCATTAAACTGAAGAACACAATGTGACTTATCACCTGAGAAATCAAATATCTGAATGTGGTGCTCTCGGTGGTTGCAAACAAATCAGTTTTGCCAATATTTTCTGGGCAAATCAGCTTTTAATTTCTACTCTTCCTGACTCAAAAGCCATAATGACTTCAAATCATGGAACTGTAATTGAAGCTCCAGTTTGGGAAAATTTGATACATATTGCCTACATTTTTATATATTACTATTTATTCACACAATTCCTTTCTATAGGCATAAGGAAAAGATGTGAAAAGGCATTCCTCCCATCACAGGGGTAATCACTGTTTAGTGATCACAATTGGGACCAGCATCTAATCATAAAGCAAAGGAGTTGCTAAATAAAATCATAACTATGCTTATAATCTTATTTCAGATTTCCTTTCCTTTATAGACCTGCAAAGGTCATAAAGAGAGGATTGGCCATAAAGTTACTTTTTCACCACTAAAAGAGGCAGTCAGTGAATGAGGGCTATCATTATAACTCACTAGAAATACATAAACTTCTATTCCACTAGGAAGTTGGATAATAAGTGATAAAACACATATATTGTTGATGTGTAATTACAGGTTTCTCTCATAATAATAAGCACCACCTCAGGGGTGTCAAACTGGCAGCCTGTGGTCGGGATGCGTCACGTGCAGGCCACACCCATCCTAGCTCCATGAATGGGAAAATCATCGCAAAACGTCACATGACAGCAAGATGACGCGGTGAGTTTGACTGACACCCGTGACCTAGGTTGTTTTTATAAATCTCAATAATTTCTACATCACAGGGTAACTTACCTTGCTGACTTGCTGAGACACTTTCTTTGCATGCTCAATGTCTCTTGCTTTTTCGTCAACGTGGCAATCGGTTCTAGCTGCCTCCCCAGCCATGCGATACTTAACCTACAGAAAATACATATAGGCTACAGTGTAGAAAACTGTAGTAAATCATTGCTTTGCAAACAGAAAATGGAGCCAAAGCAAACTGAAATTAAGTTTTCATGTAATTAATTAATGTAAAGTTTCTTCAAATTTATTTAATATACATTTAAAATGAAAACAGTACTAGCTTTTGGAAAAACTCTTGGAGGCCATATCAGAGGTTTTGGAAATGACTGGCAGTGTTCTTATGCTGAAACATCCTATAAAGCCAGTTGTCAGGTATGAAGAAGCAAGTCCACATGTTAAATTCCAGTCAAGCTAATTTATTGCTCATGCTATACAACAGGAATTTAGTCAACAGCCAGCACTAAATTGGTGCTAGATAAGAGCCAACAGAATTCAAGAGAGGCTGGACTTGGATTGCTTGTGGCAACCTAATGACTCCAAACTGATTCCTCTCTTGACTTCCCCACCCAGGCTCTGCCTCATCTTCTCCTACTCCAGCAGCTTTCATGCTGCAGTATTTTTCAGATAGTCAAGAACTGTAATTTTAACCCACAGGTATGTAGTAAGAAGTCTCAAATTTCTAGCTTCAAGTGGAGTCTGCAGTTTCCTTGGCCAAGGATCTAGCAGTATTCATATCCTAAAATTCCAGACTCGCTTACTGTAATATTATGAGTGAGCTTCTTGCTGCCCTGAGTAGAATTAAACAGTATTACCTAGTCATGGTTTCTTCTTCTTCCTTATCCTTACCTCACTGAGCTGGTCCTGGACTTTCTTGATTCTTCGAAGTTCGGGAGTATCTGTTGTTATTCCACATAGTTTTCCTTTGTCTTTTTCAAATTTTTCCTTGTACGTTTTCTGGGAGCAAGAGAAGACAGCAAAATGTAGATCTATTTTTAGCATGTCGAAATGTTATGGTTAAGAAGCCCTGTGGAAATGCCTTGTGCGTAAAGCTTTAACGTATTTCTATAGATGGGTGCATCCAAATTAGACAAACTGTTTTGATTTCAAATCACACAGTTCCCTGCAATTTGCCAGAAAGGCTGAACTACAGGTAGTCCTCGACTTACAAAAGTTCATTTAGTGACATTTGCAGTTACAACGGTGCTAAAAAAGTGACTTATGACTATTTTTCACACCATTGCAGGATCCCCATGGTCATGTGATCAAATCTCAGAGGCTTGGCAACTGACCCATATTTATGACCGTTGCAGTGTCTTTTGCAATTTTCTGACAAGCAAAGTCAATAGGAAAGTCAGATTCACTTAACAACCATGTTACTAATTTAACAACTGCAATGATTCACTTAACAACTGTGGCAAGATAGGTTGTAAAATGGGGCAAAATTCACTTGACAAATGTCTCACTTAGCAATAAAAAATTAGGGCTCAATTGTGGACATAAGTTGAGGGCTACCTGTAATAGGAACTAGACTCCATACGTTCTGGGGACATCAAGTTGGTATGTGAGTAGAGTGGGTGTATCTACATGCATATATACAAACACAGATATATCCCCATGCATAATTGGATGAAAGTTTAATTTATATATAAATGGCATAATGTTCTGATTAAGAGACATGTTTTTCTCCAGATTTATGACCCTTCAGATTAGCTTTGGCTCCCTCTGAATGTACTGAATTTATGCTCTTGAGTACAAAACACATACACACCCACAGGGATGGGAAGGGAGAGAGAATTTAAAAAGATATAGATAAGTCGAATTAGGTTATTTCATTCAGCCAAAGAAGTTTTGGTCTGAATAAGGAAAGACTATAAACTTGAACTTTTTCATATTATTCTAAATATTAAACTGGGATAACCCTAAGTTTTGATACTTTCTGATGATACTCCAGAGACCAGGATTTCCAGTTTCTACATATGCTACCGTAATTGATAGCTGTGATCAATTTCTGATACATGTATAAAATAAACATTTTTTTCACGAGGATCTTTTTTAAAAAATTGAATGAAATTCATTCAAGTAGGATTAAAATGGCTTTGAATGTGAGAAGACACACATTTCTGACTTACTTCGCTGAAGAGCTTTTGCATTTTTGAGCTGTGATCCAAGTAAGGTGTCCGAAACTTAGATCTGTCCACTTTTTTCCGTACAACTTTTTTTCTGACAGGTTGGGAGGCCTTGTGAGAAGGGTCTGTGGCTTCCGGAGGTTGTGTTGTGCTATCAAAAGTACGTGATGATGTTGTTTCATAAGTATGCGTTCTTGTTTCTGAAGGATGCCCTCTTGTTTCCGAAGTATGTCTTGTTGTTACTGTGTACGGTGCAGAACCAGTGGTGTATGTGGTCTCGGTGATCTCAGTAATTATCTAAAAACGTGGAAAGGTGTTTCAAATTTATCTCCTGACTCAGCACTAGTTTTAGAGCCTTTTTAGTTGATGTTTTTGGAGCTATGATTGTCTATATTCCTGATAATCTTTTGAAAATCAGTGCAGCTGAGATACAGATGCACTTCGCTGAGAACCAGTCTTTGACACTCTCCAAAGAATTTTCAAAATTAGTAATCTACACCCCACAATAGATTATATGAATTATTTATTTGGATAGTTTTTTTCACCATACATCATTTCATATGGCCATGCAATGTATAAAATTACACATTTGAGTTGAGGCTCAGGATAAATAATGAAGGTAGAAAAATCCCAAAATTAGATCTCTGGACAGGAAAGAATGGGATAGTTGTAGAGACTATGCAAAGAATTGTTGTTCATTCTGTTTGTTTGATCTGTATGACTAGTACCCGGGAGTTACCGTACTGTATTCAAGAGTATCATAACCTGGTATTCTTGAATTCAGGAAGGTCTTTATGACATGTTACATCTATTTTTCTGAACTGAATCAGCCATGAGATATGTTTCAAAAAAAGCAAATGACAGGGGTGGGTGGGGTATCATACAACTTTCCCCCTAGTCCCCAGCCAAGTTTCACTTCAATTTGAAAAGTGCTTTTTAATATGCACATATTATTCAATTTATTTCTATAAAATGAAATATTTGTTTTCTAAATAAAGGAATTGATTTATTCAACCAAGTCTTTTGGATTTTACAAGGATTTTCCTCACCATTGTTCTCACTGACATCAGTTCGAACTTTGACAATATATATGGAAACAGACAAATTCTCTCTTTGCTTTAACCGCATTGATATTAGTGAGATTATTCCAAAATGAATAAGAAAATTAGTTTATGCAAATAATAAACCTCTCTCTTTTTTATATGTTCTGAATGTATGCTCAAAGGTTATTTTATGAACTATTCTCCCAAAGTGAGGTATACACAAATAAACTACATAAATTCAGAATCATACAACTGTATTTCTCCATTGACACAAAAACTAATGTTGTTAATGAAGGAATACCATTGTCCCATCTGTTCTGCACCAGCCTGTAATCTACAGCAATCTGTAATCTAATCTGCAAGATTCTAGGATCCTCCTAAATAATTCTGAAGCTTAGGAAAGGAAGCCAGGGATCGTGCTGATATAATAACCAATGATAGACTTCTAACTAAAAAAGTATATTAAAAGAATTGCCAGAAGGAATAAACAACAAATGTTTAGAATAAAGTAATGTTACAGTATTTATCTTCAGGTTGGTAGTGACATTTATGAAAACGTAACCCTGAAAAGAAAAATCTTGTTTCAAGGATGAACAAGATGAACAACTTGTGAATAAGTTATGCAACAAGAAACAAAAACAAGAAAATGACATTGGACATTCCAAAGTGAATTTATATCAAACAAATGAATGGAAACACATTAACAGAAGCTTGCAGGAAGAAACATTCTGTACATACATATTTACTCTCTTCTTCGCTGAGTTTTCATGTTTTCACTTTCATTTAGCAAACTCTAAGAATTACTCTTTTTTTCTTTGTTTTCTGGTAGATGGCCAAGATTTCAACAGCAGAGGTATATATGTGTACGTTTTTAGGCCAATCATACCATTCAAACCAATCAAAAATTATTCATCCATTTCACTAGGATGCAGACATCACTATACATCTGCATCTTCCAAAAGAAAATAAAGTGTTTTTAAAACATCTCAACTAGTACTTTACAAACCACCAAGCATAATGGACAAGGAAAAAAGTTCAGGGCAATTAAAGCCTGCTGCAAATTAAGACAAATATAAGTAGGGCTGAGCAATACGACATTAACTAAAACGAGACTCCAACTCTTGCTGGGGGGAGGGAATTGAGATTTTCATTTATTTGTCCTTTCTCCTATATCTTCCCCCCAAAAAAAGAATGTAAGAATCATGCAGGCAGAAAGCCACTTAATCTTGTTATCCTAAGCTACATTTTTCTCTACTGGGAAACCAGAGTCTCTCCCGTAATTGAAAGAGATTATTCCATTCATGTAGAGTAGGCCTAGGTGCAGGTATTATCATCAACTGCACCTCCTAACCCACATGTGTCAAACTCGTTCGTGTCACATGCGGTATCAGGATGCAACGTGATTTTTTTTGCCTTTGAGGCGCCAGGGATGGCCTGCGCGTGATGCATCGGGCCTGCAGGCTGCCAGTTTGACAGGCCTGTAAACCTAACCTCCAAATTCATAAGCCTGACCCTTATCATCAAAAAGTTGTTCATCATTGCCAAGCAAAATATACTCAAGGCAAGATAATTATTCTGTTATATAAGTGTTGGTTGACTTTGTTCTTCCCAGAGGGCATTATTAGATTACTCAAGTATGTAAAAAAAAATCTATTAAATTATATTATATTATACACATACACACAAAATGCTTAAAAAGCATTACATTCCACAAAATCAGATATGTCTGCATAAATCAGATGCGTTTACCTCGCCTGGTTCACCCTCGACCTCCTCTTCTATGTAGTACTATAAACAAAGAAGAAACCTCATTATTTTTCACAAGGTCATTTGTAAAAACACATTGAGGCAAAGAACAAAATCTCAGTCTGAAGAATGAAGTGATTGAGAAGGATGTTCCATGGAAAGAGCTCAAAGATTTAATTGCTGGTAAGATCCACAGGCATTTTCTTCCGTACACACCAGTGGATTTGTGGCTGCCAATCGCTCATAATGTTTAATACTGTTTTAAAAAAGTGGTTTTTCCTTGTATTGTAAAAACTTGTTGTATTAGAGCCAATTCAAGAATTCCAAGACTTCATATCTCCTGCTTGCATTTAAGGGATTTTGGACACCCATTGGCTTGTTCATACAATAATCTTTTAAAAGTCATGTATCAGTGGCGAGTGAACAGAATATATTAGTTCACCAGATTGGCCATAACTTGAAATCATGATCACACACCACCCTTTCATTGTATGTACTATTTCAAGTATTAATGAAGGAGAGATAATCCAAAACATAATTCAAATATCAATGCAGAAAACAGTTAAACCCACAATATTTCCAAAGCGATACGTCTCCAACACATACTGACAATCTCGCATTGAATTGTTTTCTTGTGAAAATGGCGTTGTAGGAGAACTAAGCAACTCTTTAACAGGAAAAAGATTGTATTCATCTGTGAATTCTTTTTAAAGGAAGTATTGGATGTCCTAGGGAAATTTGTCATGGACTATTCATTTAAGTTTGCTACCTGACAACTCTTGTAAAAGAAAGGCTTTCATAAAATGGAAAATGATGTTCAAAACATGATCATGTTTTATTTATTAGAATGACAGCTACACATTAAATTTTTTAAAATATATTTCTTAATTAGGCTGCACAAAGCTGCAGTGAGATGATTCAAATGGATGATTCAAATTTTGTTTGAAATGATTCAAGCTAGAACTGAAACGTAGCTAATAATAATAATAATCTTACAGAATTTCTCTTGGAACTCTCAGGACTGTTTTTGCTTCAGGGTGAATTATCATATTTAACTTCAAGGAAGAAGGCACTGAATTTAAGGAGAAGAAACCATGCCTGAACAAGAATTACTGGACAAAAAACATCTTATTGGCTTTCACTGCTCAGCAATCTAAACAATCCTCTATTACAAGGGAGAAACAAAACTATGATACTTCTGCACAATATGTGTGATCGATCAAATGGAATACAAGCGGGTTTTTTTCATTCTAGGCTATTTTCCTGTTTTGAATTGGGTTTAGTTACTACTAAAGGAGAAGGAGAGAGAGAGAGAGAAAGAGAGGGGGAGAGAGAGAGGGAGAGAGAGAGAGAGAGAGATTGTATGAGGGCTGAACTACTGCTTCTCAGCGTCTTAACTAAGATAATATCATGGCTGAACTCAAATTCCATTAAAAATTTTGATGTCTATGAAACAATCCAGTTCCCAGAAAAGTACAAACAAAATTCATTTCCCTCGATCTTCCAAAGAAAGCAGGATATAGGTATAAGAAACAAAGAACCTAGATTTGGAAGACAATTGTAAAGAGAGATCAATGAGGGCTTATAGAGGATTTTTTTTAAAAAGTCCAGTTGATCACCTCAAATCAATATGCATATTTCAACACAGGAAAGAAATTGACATTATGATCATTTAAGATTCATAATGAAATGAACAGTATCTGAAGTATTCTCTTGTTCATGAAGAAGCTAAGAAGGAACTCAGCTGAATCTTGTTTAAGTGGATTTTATACTCTCTTTTGGAAATATGCATATTGATTTGAGGTGATCAACTGGACTTTTTAAAAAAAAATCCTCTATAAT